TGAACCCATCCAAATTCCCAAAAATGGCTGTACAAGAGCGTTTGTCGTTCGGGTCGTTAGGAGCACGGCGGTCTCCTTGGCGTTTGAGTTGTTGAATTTCACGTTCCAGTGCTTGCAGCTTTCCGTGCGTACTTGTGCCTACGCTTGCTTCTGACCCCGTCCTCGCAGAAGGTCCTGGAATAGGCGCTCGCGCAGCATCCCGGGATTCCAAAATCTCCAGCCGCGTCGTAATGTCGTCGATGGCGCTGGACATGGGAGCAACCTTAGCATCCAGATCTGCTTGTGAAACCCCATGTGTTTTGATTGCATGTATATCTTGGCGCATGTGATCGAGCTGCTCCTTGAGAATCTCTCTGACGGCGCTCATCGTCAACGACCCCTCTGTGATCATGTTGTTGCCATTGCTGCTGTCCCCGGCTCCAGCCAGTTGAGTTTGATATCGTTGCTGTAGTGCAGTAGTAGTCTCTGACTCGTCGAGTCGGTCCATTTCTTGTAATGGACTGTGGATCCGGTGCTGCTTGAATAAGTGCTGGACAGGTGTACCTGGCGCGCGCTTGTCGGAGGCAGCCTGCATAGCAGAAGACATCAGTCGGGCATCGGAGTGTAGGAGGGAGTATCGGAGTGTAGAAAGCATCGGAGTGTAAGCAGCGTATCGGGTGACTTGCAGCACGTTCTTACAACCCAGGCTCGCTTCGAGCCAGAATGGCCACGAGTTGTTCTGCTCCGCTGGCGGGATCGAAACTTCTGTCGCAGCATGGGCCCCGAGCGTTCGCGACGGCCGCCAGGGGCGCGGGCGCCCGGTCGACGACCACGATGGGCCCCAAAACAGCTTACAGTGCCGTTTTTAATACATGCTCCGCGTGCGGGTCATGTATAACAAATGCATGGATTTAGTATTAAGAACAACGATGAGTTCATGCATGAATTTAATCATAAATTTATCATGTATTAAAAATCCGATGCTTAAAAACAAATCCCATGTATTAAAAACTGCCCTGTATACCCCTCGAACCAGGGGTCGAAGAAACACACCGGGCCCCGTGGGGGCCAGACAAAGTTTGTACCTTAAGAAAAGCGCAGCAGTCACGCAAAACCTTCGTACACATATTTCAGGGCGTCGGTCGGCCCAGCGGGCCCTGCCCGTTCGGGCCTATAGGGCTCGCCCGCAAGGCTGGGCGGACACTCGTGCGCCTTCCCGTCCCGGCGACCCGCTTGGCCCCGCTGGAAAGGCCAGCGCCGCTTGGCGCCTCTTGGGTTCCACGCGGGTCGGGGGCGAGTTGGGCAGACGTTGAGATGATCATGGCAGACGCGCGTCACAAATGGTTGAAGGATTTTTCTTCGTCTCTTCTGTTCCTTGACATAGCCTCGTCAAATGCGCGGCCTTTTCGGCGTCGTATCAGGCGACCGCGTTGCCGAGGCGCCCCGCTGCAAGGGTCGTTGGGCCTCACCAGGGCGCCCTGCTCTGCAAAAGAAATTGCCTTGGCACGATCCGCGTCGAAGAATGCCACGCGGGCCGCTCGCGCGCGTCGGACGCGCGCGCGTTGAACTCGCCCCGAAACCATCATCACCGACGCTAGGGTATCGTCATCGTTATCGGCGGGCGCGATGAACGCCGGCGTCGTCATTGTCCTTTCCGTCGTCATCGCCACCATCGTCACAGTCATCGCAACTCTCATCATCGCGTCTACCGCTGTCGACGTTGCCATGATACCGCGCCCGCCCAAGTCGCCGACTCGCACTGACATGCTTGCTTGGAAAACCGTCTCCGATCGGTTGCGCCATATGTTGCGCCCCCGGCGGTTGGGAACAAACCGTTTTCTATCGGTTTCGCCACAGATTGCGCCTGCGGCGGCTGGGAATAACACCGTCTCCGATCGGTTGCGCCATTGATTGCGACTTTGGCGGCCGAGAGTAAAACTGTCTCGTATCGGTTGAGCCATAGGTTGCGCCCTCGCTGGCTGAGCATAAAACCGTCTCTTATCGGTTCCGCTATAGGTTGCACCCTCGTGGGTTGGGAAGAATACCGTCTCCGATCGGTTGCGCCATAGGTTGCGCCCTCGGTGGCCGATAATAAATTTTCTCCGATCGGTCGCGCCACAGGGTGCGCCCTCGGCGGCTTGGAACAAACCGTTTCCTATCGGTTGCGCCACAGATTGCGCCTTCGGCGGCTGGGAACAGACCGTCTCCGATTGGTTCCGCCATTGATTGCGACTATGGCGGCCGAGAGTGGAACCGTCTCCTATCGGTTGCGCCAAATGTTGCGCCCTCGTCGATTGAGAAAATAACCGTCTCCCGTCGGTTGCGCCATAGGTTGCGCCCTCGCCGTTTGGGAAGCAAACCGTCTCCGATCGGTTGCGCCATAGGTTGCGCCCTCGGTGGACGATACAACTTTTTCCGATCGGTCGCGCCACAGGGTGCGCCCTCGGCGGCCGAGATAAAAACCGTCTCCTATCGGTTGCGCCACAGATTGCACCCTCAGCGGCTGAGAATCAAACCGTCCTCGGTCGGCTGCGCCATTGATTGCGACTATAGCGGCCGAGAATAGAACCGTCATGTAACGGGCGCGGCCAGCTTGTTCAGCACAGTAAAGCTGATTTCGCAAGATACAGGCTCCGTCCGAAAGAATCCATGCGGGCCGCTTTCGCGCGGCGACCGCGCGCGCATGTCGAAATCCTTCAAAATTTGCATCACCGACGCGAGGGCACCGTCATCGTTGTCGGCGTGAATAGCATCGGCGTCGTCACTGGCCATGCCGGCGTCGCTAACATAATCGTCATCAGCATCGCTACCATCATTATCGCGACAACCGTTGTCGACATTGCCATGATACCGCGCCCGCCCAAGTCGCCGACTCGCATTGAAGTGCCAATTAGGAAGTGCCCAGCGGTCAGCGCCACCGCGGCCGCGTCGGTAGCGCCAGAGTACCTGGCCGCTGCGCGCGCGAGCATGGGCTAGCGCTGGCGCAGAGATGCACCAGCCAACGACAAGCACTCATCGCAAAGGCCGCCGCGTGGGTCTTGCAAACCAGGTTGCGGGTGGGTGGGTGAGATGGTTGCGCGAGCAGTGGGGTGGACAATTCCTGCGAAGAAAAACTGTTTGTACCACATAGAACACACCACATGCATTGCACCTGGCCCCATATAGATAACACCACATATATGATTTGAAATACGCCATCTTGGTCCACGCTGCTTAATTTACTTGGGACGTTGGTTATATCCCCCATGTCGAGGCCCGACTGAAGAACAGGTATGTTGTTTTCGTTTTGGCGTTCCGCATTCGTGTGTACGGACGTTCATTGTAAAATGGCGCAACAAATCGATCGCCCTCCGCGTCACCCATTGCTTTATTTACACAACGCGGGGTTCAGGCGTTCATCTAACAAGTGGATGCTGGAATAATTGAGGCGAAATGTTAGCTTGCTTGCCGCACGCGCGAAACAATCAAGTTTCACAAACCATGTTGTCAGCACACACTGTTGCTCCTTATGAACACAGGTTTCCCGTGCGCGCGAATTCGGTGAAAGCATAAGAGCCAAGCTGCTGTTTCTGCCGTTCTTGTGGCCATGCGTGCTATTCGCGCGCGCACTGTTGGAAACCATCGAGCAGCCATCGTGCATCGGCCCATTGTGTCACATCGTGATACTCGGACCTTTTACACGTCCTCGCGCGCGCATGGCGAAATCCTGGGAATCGTTGGCGTTTCCCTGGCAACTAACGCGGGGGAATTCCATTGCTTGTGCGGCAAGCGTGTTCCCCCCTAACCTCCTCGTCATCACCGGCAGCGCCAGCATTGCCATCGTCGTCTTCACCATCATCGTCATCACCATCGTGATCGTCACCGTCGCGATCATCATTGCCATCCTCATTGCCGTTGCTGCCGCCCTCGCCACCATCGCCATTCACCATCACCACCGTCATCACCGTCGTCGTCGCCGTTACCGCTTTCACCATGACCATTCGCCTGTCCGAAACCCGGATCTACATTTCATTGCGCCAGTTGAGTGTTGCAAACAAGTTGTGGGGGGGAAATCGAAGTGTTGATCGAGCATTGGGGTCGGCGACGTCAAAGTATGCAAACGCGTATTCTCATTCCATCGGCTCCGCCGCCCCACATGCGGGACAGTTCAGATCGTCACCACCCACCAAACCACCCCAACCCAACCCGAAGGTCTCGATTTGCCCTCCATTTCCAGTTGGGGGGGGTCGGGGAAAATCGAGAAAACACATATGGAACCCGTACCCCCCCCCAACCCGAAATTCGGGTCTTCGGGTTGGGTTGGGGTGGTCTGGTAGGTAGTCAGATCGCAGTTCACACGTGTCTCCAGTAGATCGCGCAGAACAGTGCAGTGCACCACGTACGTCGCATCGTGTTTCGGTTGCACGGCGTCAAGGCTTGGGATCCACGCGCTGGCATAATTCCATGCCTCGTTCGGCCTCCCTCCCTCTCCGACCCTCCCTTTCTATCATGCATCCCCTCCCTCCCTCTCGTGGCCCTCGTCCCTTAAAACAACAACAACATTAGGAGTGCAAAAAAAACAAAGACACATAAAACAAAACAACCTTTCTCGCGGCACGCTTCCCCGTCCCCGCTTCATGTTTTTATCCGCGTCCTCCCCCCCTCATTCCGTCCCTTCCCCCTCCTACGTCCTCCTCTTTTTCCGTCGCCTCCTGCCAGGAGTCGTATATCACATTATGTCACATTACGTGCAGGCGTTCCATCTGCGCACATGGCATACAGAAAGGATACGAGATTTGGAGGCATAAGAAGACGTGCAAGAAGAGGCGAGGAGGAGAGGGTGATGAGGGTGAGGAGGAGGAGTCGGAGTTGCGCGTGATGAGGAAGAAAGGGGCAGGTTGAGGAGGAGGACGAGGAGGAGGAGGAGCAGCAGGGGGCGCGGAGGAGGATGAGGAGCAGTACGATGAAGGAGGGAAGGCGAAGAGCCAGAGCAGCACGGGCAGGTGGTTAAGCAGAACAGGGCGCGCGCGCGAGTCAGTCAGGAGTTCTGCGGCGAGTGGGTGGTGTTCTACCACAGCTACTCGTGCGCAGCCATACTCTACGAGGTGTCCCTGCGCCCCGCCAGCGGGTGTGTCACGAAGCAGGGGGAGAGGGGGATACGGTCAGTAACTGTTGGTTCGCGTATCGATCCGCTGGTTCTGGCCCATCACGTTTCGGCGCGACTTGCTATCCATTCCCCGGTCCACAAGATTTCATGTTCGGAGTTCTTTCGAGCCTCCCGCTCCGCGGAGCGGAGCGACACGCTATCCACTTGCCAGGCATAGCGTATCGCCAGGGCGGCACGCTAAGCAACAGTTCCGGGCATACGGTCATGAATTTTTGAATGAGCGTGTCGACTTGCGAGTTCTGGGCCATCACGATTCGGCGCAACATGTGGACTGCCCTGGCCCTCGAACGTCAGCGCCCCGAGCCTTCGGACGCCTTCCGCACCTCGGAGCGGCGCGTCACGCCATCCGCTTGCAAGGCATGTCATGTCGCCGTGGCCGTGGCCGCGACACGCAAAGCAACCGTTCCCGACCGCAGGGAGAGAGAATGAGATAGATACGGGTTGTCAGGTCTTGTTTCGAGGCCCCTGTGGCGCCGAACTAAGAGTACGTCATCGTGGCGCTGTGGTGGTTTTGTATTCGGCAGCCGATGCAGGCTGTCCACGTCGAAGGCCCCGTTGCTGCCGAAGTACTGGCTTGGGACGCCTTCTGCCTCCCCATTCCCTGCAAGAAAACAACAAACACAAATTGGGATGCACTTCCTTGGAGGTTCAATTTGCTCTCGTCGCTGATACTTCCGCGGTCGATAACCCGCTTAATCTGGGCTAATCCGATTGATTCTCGCTTAATCCCGCTGTATTCATCTTAATCCGGATTAATCCGCCTGGCTCCCAGGCTTTATCTGGCCTGATCCTGTGAAGTGGCCTTCGAGTCGGCCTCAAGCGCCCTTCCCCGTTCCCTGAAAGACCTTCCAGGAGTTGTCTCCTTGGCCCTAGGCACAAAGGGAGGCAGAGACAGAGAGAGATCGGGGAGCGTAAGACTCGAGTAAGCCGGAACTCGGGGTTGCCGACGTTTTTTGACGAGCGCATCTTGGATTTTGACGGTCCAGTTTTCGTGGTATGTTTGCAGCGGGAGTTCGCGTCTCGTCATTTTGATGATGGCCCCGTCAGGCCAGCCCGAGTCCCCCGTGACAGAGTCTCACACGTTGTTCAGTTGTGATTATTCGAAGGTTCTTTGGTTTTAGGGGGGGCCAGGATCCTGATCTATCCTGGGCCTCTTCCTGGCCACTTGGGGGGGCCAGGAACAATTTGAAACGAGCACGATCAGAAATGAGCACGATCAGAACTGAACGACGCGTACCCATGCCGCTCAGTCAAGGCGCCGAGACAAGGAACGGCTCGGGCACGGAAGGGGCTCGGTGGCCTTTGGGTCATTCGGTGGTTGTTCCTCTAGCCCCTCCTCGTGCACGCAGTTTTTACGACGATTCGAAATGCACGACGAGGAAGGGGGGCTTCGTTTTTTGTTGACGATTCGAAATGCACGACGTGTGCGTCTCCCCCACGAGGGACTGCGAGCCTGCCTCCCGCCGCCGCCCCCCCGCACGCGGCCGCGGCGCCGCGGCCCGCCCGCGGCCGCCCCTCCGGCGCCCCCCTCTCGGGCTGGGCGGCTGCGCGTTTGGCGCGCTGCCGCTCCGGGCGGGTGCACCTCGGAGGAGGAGGAGGAGGAGGAGGGGAGGAGGAGGGGAGGAGGAGGAGGAGAAGGGGAAGAGGACGCAGCAGGCCTCAGACGCGCAGCATTTGCCGCTGAGTCTCCGTCCTGGTGATGGGGGCAACGTCGGCTCAGCTGACGCTCGTCAAGGCCTGTCTGTTGATTGTAGTGCTGGTATTTCGGGGAAAGCAGGCCGCCGTTGCATGACCATTGAAACCTGTAATTCATCTTCTTGGAAATCTCTGAAGACGTATTTGCAGTCCGAGTCTTTCGGCCAGGTTGTCGTTTTCCAGGATTTCGCTTTCGGAGATGATCATCGGGAGGGTACCCACCAGCTTCGCCAGTTAGGGTGGAATGCTCTCGTGCACCCAAGCAGGACCACAGACAAGGGAGGGCTCAGTTGCGGGACGGGGATAGCTGTCAGGAGTCACATCGGGATGGGATCCTTACCGCTTGTCCGCCCTCTTCCTCAGACACACCGAATCTGCGGAGTTTGGTTGGACATGTTTGTGCCAGGAGGTATCGCGGCGTTTCCACTCTATCTTGATTGCGATGACCCCCTGGGCCTCGGCAGTTTCCAGATCCTCAACAGGCTTGGCGAGGAGCTCCATGGTTGGCAGCTACCCTTCGTGATAGGAGGGGATTTCAACACATCGCCGAAGCTGCTAGCGGACACGGGCTGGGTGGACAAGATTGGGGGCACAATCTTCCACACCTCTGAGCCTACGTGTCGAAAATCGCCGACCTCTTGGACCACCATCGACTTTCGTCATCTCGAAGTCGCTCGGGCCTTTGTTCGACGCTGTGTCGCTTAACAAACGTGGAACTACTGCCCCGCACTGGCCCGTCACGCTGGACCTCTCAGGTGCCCCCAGAGAGCTCAAGACCAGGGTCCTTGTAGGTCCGAAGGTGTTCCCACGTGAAGCCCCTCTCGGTCCGCGACCTCCACCTCCAGATTGGTCTGAATGTTTAGCTCAGCTCGAGGCGCGCGGCGACCAGGCAGCTCTGGACAGGGGCTACGCTAGGTTTTGCAAGCTTTTCGAGGATGAGATGATAGGTATCCACGGCATTGACAAGAGCGATGCGCACAAGTATCGCGGTCGGGCCAAAGGAATGAAGACCAAAATCTATCCAGCTGTTTCAGTCTCGGGCGGTGCGTACCCTGTTTCATCGGCCAAAGGGAGAGCTTGGAGGAAGTGGTCTATCCACATTCAGGAGCTCAGCTATCTCGTCAGGAAAGGAGTGCCTTTGGACCGACCAGATGCCAGATCAGTTTTTCTCCATGTGCTACAAGGGCCTGCAGCGCTCCGTGCCGACCCTGTTTGGCAAGAGTGCGCAGTCTCTGAGACGGACGTGTTTTGCCTCGACTTCTGTGGCCTCGTGCAGTTGTGCGCCAAGGCCAAGCGTAATGCAGAGCGGCTTGAGAAGCAGTTTCAATCGGATCGGGGCAAAGCCTGGAGATCTTGGGCCCAGACAAGTCTGGGCAATGGGGCTGGATTGGCCCATAAGTTCACCAAGGTCCCCTTGGGATGGGTTCCATCGAGCCCGAAAGGAGGGCCCCCCAAGGGGCCCATGGGGCGCATCGACGACCTCATGGACGGGCGGGCTAGGATATGGAGCCCCAAGCCCAGCATGAAGGACCTCCCTGATCCCATCAGCCTCCTCACAGAGAAGATCTCCGAGTCCTCCGAGGAGCCCATGGTCTTGGCCACGCCCGATCAGATCCGAAAGTGTTCCAGGAAGTTCAAGGCTAGGACGGCGATAGGCGCTGATAGGACACGCCCCAGGGATTTCGAGATCCTCAGCGACGGGGCCCTGGAGTGCGTGGCTGCTCTCTGGTTTTGGATGGAGTCTCTTGGCAAGCTCCCCGAGGTCCTGGCCACGATTATCAGAGCCATGATCCCAAAGGACGAGGAAGGTGGAGTTCGGCCAATCGGAATTTTGTCGGGGAGCGTCAGGTGCTTTGGGAACTATTCTCGGGTACAGGCAGATCGCTGGGAGCGGGCCCATGACAGGCCTTACCATTTCGGAAGCAGGGGGCGTTCTTGCGAAAGAGCTGTTTGGGAACAGGCTATTAGGATGGAGCACGCGTGCGTTTTTGGGCACTCAGCAGCGTCTGTCCTGGTCGATATGACCAAGTGCTATGAGAAGGTGGTTCATTTCTTCTTGGCCTCGGCGGCCAGCAAGCACGGCTTTCCTCTGTACCGCCTGCGCTACCTCCTCTGCTTGTACAGGGGCCAGAGGGTCTTGCAGGTGGGCAGGGTCTGCTCTGAGTTTGTCGCCTGCATCCAGGCGATCTTGGCAGGTTGTGCGTTCGCCACCACCCTGCTAAAGTGCCTCCTTCTTGACCCGCTAGACCAGGTGGTTTCGAAGTTCCCGTCGGTTCGGATCTACAATGTAGTCGATGATATTACGTGCGGTGCTACAGGTAAGGCTAGGGCGGTGGCGAGAAAGCCGGCCGATGCTACTTTTACGCTGTGCAGCAATCTGGAGAAACTTGGTTTCCTGATCTCTCCCACGGAAGGCCTGATCACGGCGACGTCTCGGGATATTGAAGTTCGGGTGAAAACGCGACTGTTGCGTTGGAAATTCCAAGTGGTCAAGTCGGCTCGTAACCTCGGGGTTGACTACGCTGCAGGTCGGCGCCGAACTCCAGTCCAGGGGTCGAGATGGGAGAGTTTGGGGCCCCGGGTTCGCCGATTTAGGGGCCTTCGCTCGGGCTACTCGGGCTTGTGCAAGGTCGTGAAGACAGGTGGATTGCCAGCAGCTTTTTACGGCACAGCGGTCATAGGCATGAACACTTCCACGGTCATGAAGCTGCGCTCTATCATACGTCAGGCTTCTTTCGGCAAAGGACGGGGCCGTTCCAGGACTCTGCAGTTTTTGTTGGGCCCCACTAAGGGCTTGGACCCTGTGTTCCAGGCCGACCTCCTGCCGCTCAAGATGTGGCAACAGGCTGTGAAACAGAAATGGGTCCCCGAGCGCATCACGAGGGCCTGCGCGCAGGCCTACCCTACGGTTGCTTCCAGGACTTGGGACAAGGTTCGGGGGCCAGCTGGAGCGGTGTGGGCTACCCTGGATCGTCTGGGCTGGAGGTTTACTGCTTGGGACACCTGGGAATCTTGCCGTGGCTTCCTACTGGACCTCAACCACTTCGGGAAGCGCACCCTTACTAAGTTGATTGACTACAGTACACATATGAGGCTCCTGCAGCATGTTGGGGCCCCTGATCCCGAAGATCCTGAGCGTGTGGTTCCTCCCCTCCTGGGGCCCATCATGGATGCCCTAAGAGGCCTCAGGAAAGCGGGGAGAAACTCAGCTGCCTCCTTTCTGTGTAATGTAGTCGCAGGAGGTCATCCCACTCAGGATGTTTTGTTCCAGGACAGGCGAGCCATCACGCCGCTGTGCAGGGTCTGCGGCATGTATAACGGCACGCCACAGCATCGTTTATTCCAGTGTGATGGTTTCCTTCTGTTTAGGCGGGACTTAGACCTGCCGCAGTGCGTGGACAGAGGCTTGCAGCTGGGCGCCTACGATTTCCTGTCGACGAGGGCGCTCATTGCTGACCCAGGGTATGACTGGCCCAAGGTTTCCACTGCCGAGGTCTGGCGGTGGGATAAAGTGCCAGAAGCAGGTTTCCTAGGCAGCAGGATATGCATCGACGGCTCAGGCTTTGACACGACCTCCCTGTATGCGGCTCGCGCAGGTAGGGCAGTGGTGGCCATGGATCAGAGCAGTCGTTGCGAGGGCAGTGCGTTTGGACCCCTTCCTCATCCTGTCCAGGAATCAGGAGCTGGTGAACTATATGCTTTGCTGATGGCCCTCAAGCTCATTGGGCCCTCGCAGTGCACCCAGATCTACACTGATTGCCAGGCCGTCTTGGACGTGTGGGCCCGCGGGCCCGAGTCGGACATGTCTGAGGTGGCGTTCTCGGAGGTCTGGGAGCTCGTCTGGGATCGTGTTCTAGATATAGGACAAGAAATGATCTGCCTGCACAAAATTAAGAGTCACATTTCCTGGAGTAGATGTCTTGAGACCTCGGAGGCCCCCCACTGGGCCTGGGTCGGCAACGGCATTGCTGACGGTCTTGCTAAGCGCGGAGCCCAGGAGCACCCTTGCAATCCTCGCCTCCGCGCCCTCCAGAGACAAAGAAGTTCGGAGGCAGCAGACTTCAGTAGGTTTATTGCGTGTTTCGGGGAGATGCTCAGCAAGAAGAATTTCCCCGACGTCCAGAAATGTCAGGCCCCTCCCCGCCCCAAGCATGACCCTTTAGTTTTGGTCTGTGGTTTCAAGGGGCACGCTGTCCAAAGGACGGGCACTAAGGGGAAGGGGGCCTACCGCTGTGTGAACTGTGGCGCCTCGGGGTTTTCAGAAGCGTCAGCGCGCGCGCTGCCGCGCTCTGGCCTCCCCAGGCTGGCCAGGCTCGCCCACGCCAGCCATAAGCTCTGGATTAGTGGCGGCCGAGTCGTGTGGTGTAATTCGTGCGCTGCATTCGGGTCTGTCAAGCTGTGCCTGTTGGGAGGTCCGTGCCCTGGCGCGCCTCCCAACAAGCCAGCGGAGAAGACCCTAAAGCAGCTGAAGGAGGGGAAGGATCCGTCCACCAAATCCTTCGTGGGTCGGCCTGTACCCCTCCATCGGTCGGGGCCTTAGCGGTGCGGTCGCGCGCCTACTGGCCCTGGCCTCGATTTTCGCGTCGCTCGCCGTCGCCCGCCGCCCAGTGTTCTCGCCTGGAGGAGCTTGGCTGCGCAAGGATCGACAGGATCGACAGGAGGAGGAGGAGGAGGAGGAGGAGGAGGAGGAGGAGGAGGAGGAGGAGGAGGGGAGAAGGAGGAGGGGAGGAGGAGGAGGAGGAGGAGGAGGAGGAAAGGAGGAGGAGGAGGAGGAGGAGGAGGGGCGGAGGAGGAGAAGGAGGAGGAGGAGGGTTCAACCGACACCGAGGGTAGGGCTCAGACGGCGCGGGCGGGGCGCGCTGCGCTGCGAGCATGCGGGCGCGGCACAGAGCCTCGGAGGAGGAAGAGCTACCCATACCATGACCCTTCGGTCGTTTCCCACTTCTTGGGCCTCCTGGGGGGCCCTCGTCGCCACCGCCGGGCGCGCCTTGAAATGCTGGTCAGAACGCGCCCCAGGAGAGATCCGGGGCGTAGCGGTATGGGTATTTTTTGGTGTCCCCGTAAGCGGATGTTTCGGAAGGGCCCCTCGGGGAAAAACCCACCGACCTCGGCATGAGCACTTTGGTTGTGGTTGTGGTCGATCTGGCCGTCCCGGGCCGCCACATCGACCACAACCAGCATCAACCTGGCTTCGGTGCTTGACGATTGCTGACATGAGCAGGATAGATTCATACGGCACCGCCACTGGGCCCGACGGAATTCAACCTTGAGCGATCGGGGCTGCGATCGCTTCAAGGTTGACCGATCGACGCGGTGTCGAAAACAATGGCGCGCGCCGATGCCGCGCGAACCTACCGGAATCCCCCGGGAGCCCTCGATGTGGAAGTGGTCGCACGCTGTCCCCCGCAGAGCGGGGGGGCGGGGAGAGGAAGGCGAGCCCGCCCCACCACCACGGGGGGGCCACCTCCAACCAGGCCCACGGCGCCGCCGCCACCAGGGGGTTCACCTCCAGCCAGGGGATCAAAGATGCGCCCCTGAGCTGGGCATCGTGGGTGTCTCGCGCGAGAGGGGGGGGGGGGCCACACGGCAAGGAGGACCCTCCCCGGCTTTTCGCGCTTGTGATCACGGATCATGGCGTCGCCTCTCTGTGTTCCTGCGAGCGGGGTAGGGAGATGGAGGGAGAGAGAGAGAGAGAGACTTGGAGGAGGACCAGTCTTATCAACGGCATCTCTCTCTCGTCCAGCCGAAGTCCGTTCAGAGTTGGCCCCAGCCTCCCTCAGGGTCCGTCCTGACGCGCTTCCGAGGCGGATGTGGCCGACGAGACGCCCCCAGGGGGCCCAGGAAGGACGACACATATTGGAGAGGGCCGCCGCTGTCTCGACTGGAGGGAGGGAGAGAGAGAGAGAGAGAGAAAGAAACAACGAAAGAAAGAAAGAAAGAAAGAGAGAGAGAGAGAAAGAAAGAAATAAAGAAATAAAGAAAGAGAGAGAGAGGCAGAGAGATAAAGAACGAGAGACAGAGAAAAGGAGAGAGAAAGAGAGAGAGAGAGAGAGATAGAGCTCTCTCCACATCGCCGTGGGGGAAGCGGGTCCTGAGGGAAATGGTTCCTGAGGTTTCTCGCCGTAGTCGGACGCCCAGGGCCCTCCGAGGGCCCCGGGGCCGTCAGAAAATGATTCAGCATGAAGAACTCGCCCTGGGGGAAGGCCCTGGGGTCCAGGACCCGTTTCCCTTTTGGGTCCCGATGAGTGGAGGGGGGGGGGGGGGGGGGGGGGGCGATGGGCGATGCATGGGGGGCAGCGAGGGCTGCCGAAAAGAAGCCCTTTGAGGCCTCTAAAGGCCTTGTAGGGCCCCGAAGGGGGCGTTGAGGGCCCGAAATGGGCACCGTTCTCTCTCCCCCCATTGGTCGCCCCCCTGAATTCGCGCCCAACCCAAGAGAAAGAACGCGTCCTGGGGGCAGGCTACAGTCAACCATGATAGTAAAGCTGGGGCACCTTTCCAAGGCTGCCCTTGCATCCTTGCCCCTTCGGTACCCGGCATCCTTCGGGATTCTGCTGCGCTCCGCGCGGACAACGTCGGCATGGCGTTCCAAGGCCCCTGGTATCCTTACCGCGCATCCTCACTAGCCTTACCTCGCATCCTCACTTCCTCCTCCTCCTCCTCCTCCTCCTCCTCCTCCTCCTCCTCCTCCTCCTCCTCCTCCTCCTCCTCCCCTGGTCGAGTGTGGGCCCCGGGGCCCAGGACCCGTGGCCCTCGGGACCGGCTTCCCCCCCCCTGGCTATAAGACAGAGTCGGAGGTGGACAGGCCTCGTACCCCGACACGCCGATGAAGGAATTGGCCGTTTTCGGTTCGCGAGAGGGCGTCGCGGCCGTCATTTCTGCGGGTCCAGGTCCGTCGGTTTCGGTCCCGGGCCGTTTTCACTAAGGAGGCTTACTTGGTGGTCTCCAAACCCGGTGGTGAGACACCGATTCCCCCAAAAAATGATTCTGGGTCACCACCGGGTTTGGGGACACGCGGTCGCCACGAGGTTTTGCGTTTCCTGGGCCAGCCAGCGCTGGAAAACCATCACCCAGATCGCCCAAAACTCACCACCGGGTGTTCTCACCACCACGTTTGGGGACCACCAACTTACTTCGGGGGCGGAAAAGAGGGGGGTGATGACTAGGGGGGGATGGATATCATGGCGCGGGCCATGATATTTCCCCAGATCTCATGGCGCCTCTTCTTGTTTCATTACGTCCCAGGCCCCCCCCGCTGGGCCGCGCACATGCCGCCGGTCATGATTTGCACCCCCCCCTCTTGGACACCCCCCTCTTGGCCGCTCCCGATTACTAAAGGGAGGTGTGTCCACCGCCGACGGAGGTGCAGGCCGCCGTGGGCTCGGTGCTCTTCCGCTTCAAGGCCCGGCGCGCCGGGCGCTGCGCGCGCGACGGCAGGGCAGCGACGGCGCCCCCCCCCCGCTCGCCCAGGCCCTCGGGCGGCGGGGGGTGGCCAAGAGGGAGGTCCGAGGAGGAAGAGGTGCCCACTGTTCGGTTCCGATTCTTCGAGGGTTCTTTGGTTTTTGGGGGGGCCAGGATCCTTTCATGTCTAATTGTTCTCTCCTGGGCCTCTTCCTGGCCACTTGGGGGGGCCAGGAACAACCAGGAACGAGCACAACTAGAAATGAGCACGATTAGAACTGAACGACGTTTACCCATGACGCTCAGTCAAGACGCTGAGACAAGGAACGGCTTGGGCACGGAAGGGGCTCGGTGGCCCTTGGGTCATTCAGTGGTTGTTCCTCTAGCCCTCCTCGTGCACGCAGGTGCTTTGGGGGCCAAAAGGCGGCTTCGTTTTTTATGGACCGTTCCTCACTTCAGCGGCCCGACTGTATCCGTGCCTCGTGTTTCCCTGTATGGGTCTCCTGAGAGGCCCTTGTCGCCGGCCGCCACCGCTGGGTTCGCCTCGAGATCCTGGTCAGAGCGCACCCCGGGCGAGGTCTGGAGAGTAGCGGCATCGGTACCTGTAGGTCCTCGAGGTTCCCCTGGCGGGGGAGGATCAGGGTCAGGGGGCCAAGGGGGGGGGCACGGGGATGCGAACGGAGCCCCGCTGCCCCCCCACCACTTCGCCGAAAGCGTGGAGTCTTTCGAATTACCTAAAGTGCATCATGCATCATGAAAGGCATTACGAGGAAGCGCCTCCAGCGCCGCTGACAGCCGACACCGCTGCCCTTCCCTCAGCGCCACGGCTGGATTCGCATCTCAGTCCTGGTCAGCATTCCCGGGCGTTCATGTTTCATGGAGTTCGTCTTTGCGGCCCGTTCTCAGGCCGCGGGGCCGCCGAAACGACACCGGGGCGGCAGAGGATCCCCGGAGACGGGGCCGGGACCTCCGTGGCCGTGCTGGGCATGGCAGCGGTGGGCCTCGCTTGCCCAGGCCCCCGGGCGGGGGCGGCGGGGGCGGCGGGGGGTCGACGGAGGCGCCGCCGGGACGGGTGCCCTGTGATGCAGGATGGCGGTTTGTCCGAGGCCTGGAAATTGGCACCAACACCAGAACAGGGGGTTGCCTCCACAGGGGGGAGGTGGTCCTAGACTTTCGGTGTTGGTGGTAAAATAGTTCGGCCACCTTGGAAGCCAGAATATTACCACCATCGCCGAGATCGGGATCTTCTTCCCTCGGTGGAGGCAAACCGCCGAAATTGGTGTTGGTGTCAATCTCTAGGCCTGCGAGTTTGGGGAACCATCTCAGGGAAGACGATCCACGTGCGGTCGGGAACTTTTGGACTGCGTCTTGCTCCGCGGGTTCTTGTACACCACCTCGGCGCGGCACGTTACCCGCTGTCCGCCCCCGGGCGTCAACGTCCCGAGCTTGCTTCATCCAGCCG